AAATGTATATAGTTAAGACTCTGGGTAAGTAAATTAAGAAAGTACTCCATAGCTAGAAAAAAGGAAGCTCTTTTTATTCTGATACCTGATACAGAATTTCTCTGTGAGATAACATCATTAAGGAAAAAAAAGCAGGGATTAGAACGTGCTATCATTTGTATGTTGTATTTTTTTGTTAAAGAATTTAGACAGGCCGGGCACAGTGGCTCACACCTGTAATCCTAGCACTCTTGAGAGGCTGGGGCATACAGATCACTTGAGCTCAGGAGTTTGAGACAAGTCTGAGCAAGAGTGACACCTCGTGTCTATTAAAAATAGAAAAACTAGCCAAGTGTTGTGTCAGGCACCTGTAGTCGCAGCTACTCGGGAAGCTGAGGCAAGATGATTACTTGACCCCAGGAATTTGAGGTTGCTGTGAGCTATGATGATGCCATGGCATCCCTAGGCAACAGAGTGAGACTGTCAAAAAATAAAAATAAAAGGATTAGACGACTTCCAGGTGTATATTCATAGAATACCTTTGGCAGTATTGATTGCCCTTGGGGAAGGGAACTAGGTAGATGAAGACAGCTAAACAGGGAGATTCATTCATATGCTCCCATGCCCTTTTGTCCTTTCTGAATGTATTTGCTTTTAAAAAGAAGGAAATAGGGGCAGCGCCTATGGCTCAAGGAGTAGGTCACTGGCCCCATATACTGGAGGTGGTGGGTTCAAACCCAACCCAGGCCAAAAACTGCAAAAAAATAAATAAAAAGAAGGAAATATTAATTCATAGATGAGTGCTGTGGGCGGAGCCTCATTTTTTTTTTTGTTTTTTTGTTTATTTGTTTGTTTTTTGAGACAGAACTTCAAGCTGTCGCCTCTGGGTAGAGTACCATGGCATCACAGCTCACAGCAACCTCTAACTCCTGGGCTTAAGCTATTCTCTTGCCTCAGCCTCCCAAGTAGCTAGGACTATAGGCGCCAGCCACAACGCCCGGCTATTTTTTGATTGTAGTTGTCATTGCTGTTTGGCAGGCCCGGGCTAGATTCAAACCCAACAGCTCTGGTGTATATGGCTGGTGCCTTAGCCCCTTGAACTACAGGCGCCGAGCCAAGCCTCATTTTTTATTTATTGACTTGGTAATAAGTAAATATTATAATTGAACTAAAACACAAATACTTATATGTATGTATGTATGTGTGTGTGTGGTTAATACCAAGTTATCAACCCAAAAAAAGATAAATTTTTAATTTTTGTATGAATTTAATAGAATTGCAAGATTTCTGAAACTAAAAAATTTTGTGATTCTAGCTCTGTTACGTTATGCCATCATCCAGTGCAAGGTGTGCTCAGTTTCCTCGAGCCCAGGACAAAGTTCATTACTACATTAAGCTGAAGGACTTAAGAGATCAGTTGAAAGGCATTGAACGAAACACAGACGTTCAAGAGGTGCAGTATACGTTTGACCTACAGCTTGCACAAGGTACGTTGCTGTGCTGTTAGCTTTCCTTTTATTCATTTTGCATATGTTACGCTATAGGAAGTATGTCGTGAGTTTTAACAGCAAGAGAAAAAAAAATAATTATATTTCTAGCCAGAGTGCTCTGATAATGCGTATTGGTTATTGTAAAAATCTCCTTTGACCAAGGTCTGCCCTCTACCCCCTGTACTCCTGTAGGCATCGAAGATTTAAGAAACATTGTACCCCACCTAAAATTAAATATAATAGGTTTCTACAATTCATGTGAGTTAATTTAGTAGATGCTACAAAGAATTTAAAAGATTATACTGAAATATGTACCAATATGTGTGAGCATTCAAGAAAAAGAATAGTGCGTGATTTCTGAATGCTGTTATTTTCATAATTGTACAGAATTGATTTTAAATCCTTTTTACCCCCCTTACAGAGGATGCAAAGAAGATGGCTGTCAAGGAAGAAAAATACGATCCAGGTTACGAGGCAGCATACGGTGGTGCTTATAATGAAAATCCATGCGGTGGTGAACCCTGCAGCTTCTCTTCAAATGGGCTAAGTGTGTTCTCCTCCTCATGTGTCTTCCTTTCAAAGACTTTCTTCTGTCAGGAAGGGGGGAACATTTAATAGAAATAGAGTAAAGTATTAAAGAATAGAGCTAAACAGTGGGAATACATGTTCATACATGGTTGTAAAGGACATTGGAAACTAAGAACTAGGGATCGTGAGCAGGAGATGAGAGGTAAAAATGTACCTATCGTGTAGTTATGTGGTATTCTACTCTGGCGACTGTCACACCAAAAGCCCTGACTTCAGGATATCATTCATCCATGTAACAAAAATACTTGTATCCCTTTAATTATTTTGAAATTAAAAATAGAAAGGCTGGGCATGGTGGCTCTTGCCTGTCATCCTAGCACTTTGGGAGGCTGAGGCTGGTGGACCACCTGAGCTCCGGAGGTTGAGACCAACCTGAGCAAGAGTGAGAACCTGTCTGTACTAAAAAATAGAAAAAACTAGCTGGGCGTTACGGCAATCGCCTGCAGTTCCAGCTACTTGGGAGGCTGAGGCAAAAGGATCACTCACTCCCAGGAGTTTAAGGGTGCTGTGAACTGTGATGATGCCCCAGGACTCTACCAAGGGTGACAGAGTGAGATTCTCAGAGATAGAGAGAGAGAGGATGGTAAGAAAATTTGATGGTTATTTGATGTTTAACCACACAAAGTTTTACAGCTCATTTTCTTAAAGTCATGGACTCTAATCCATCCTAGTTGCATTTTCCTTCTTTAGTAACAAATGGGGGATTATCAATCCTGTATCTGAAAATAGAACAGGAACTTAGAATTCTATTTAGGAAGCTTGCCTCACTATTACAAAAATTCTCCACCAGACTGTCAAAATCTCCTAATTTGATCATTTAAAACTTCTCAATAGCACAAGCTAACATTCTTTTCCCTTCTTAGCAGCCGACAGTGTGGAGTTAAGAGAAGAATCAGCGTTGAGTAGCATTCCAAATGGGCAGTGGATAACCCAGTCGTTTACAGACCAGATTCCTTCCTTTGATAATCACCTTGGAACGCAAGAACAGGAAGATGGAAACCATGCTTAAGAATGCCGTTGCTCAGCTCTGCTTATGCTGCAGTTTTAATGCAGTTGTCAAGAAGTAGAACCTCAGTTTGCTAACTGAAGTATTTTATTAGTATTTTACTGTAGTGGTGTAATTATAGTACAGAACAGTTGTGTGTTAGTATGAACTCTATGAACCTAAGTAGCGTGGAAGAAAAAAGTAGGGGTTTTCTATGTGAATTTTTGTATTTGAATTAACCATCATTCCAGCTTTTTATATACAATATTTCATTTATGAAGAAATTCAGAATTTCTTTTAGGAGTCACTTTTGATCTGTAATTTTAAAATACAACAGCCTGAATGTTTGTAGTTGAATCTTAACTGTGCATACACCCAGATACACCATTATTATCCCTTTTATGCTTAAGAAGGGCATGCTGATAATTACCACAGGTAAGGGGACATGTGTGCTAATTTCATATAGGAAGTTAACCCTAGGTGGAGTCTCATTTATCACTTTCTAGTGGTAACTGAGGATAAACTCAGAACTCTGGGTCATTTGCACACTCTGACCTCTTTGCTTTCCCATCAATATGGGTGTGAGGGTTGCTTAGACACAGAGAAATGTGGAGTATGGCCTTGCAGTCCAAAGCTGACCTGATGGGGCACTGAGCTCTGGACTCGGCCTCCTCACTGCTGTGTGTGTGTAAGTCCTGGACTAGGCACTAACTATCCCAGGATGTTAGGTTCCAGAGAATATGTAGACCTTTTACATTTTGACACTCATCCGTGTTTTACTTGAGACACATGAATTTGATAGGGAACTGAATTGCTCTGTCAAGATTTATCAACATTCTGGTTTTATCCTCCTGGGCTTGAAGGATGTGACGTGGGAAGTGATAAGAAATGAACTTTCATGCAGAGCAACTGGAAGTGTTTGATAATCTTATTTAAACTGGTGCTTTTTATGTACATGAGATGTACTACAATAGATAATATAGAATTTTTATTAGATAAATCTAATAAGCCAATAATTTAATTTTTTTTCTATTTGTTGTTTGTTACTGTGGATGAAGTGAACCTCGTGGGAAGGTTGGTTTGAATTACGGACCTTTGTGATTTTCTAATGCATTTTCCATGGTGCTGCAAACAGTCCAGGCTACCAACTAGGCCTGGTAGGTGTTAAAGCCAGGTATTCAAAAATGCCTGGAAATTCAGAAATGCAGTTACTCCGAATCACTCTGGAATATTCTGATCTCATACATACCCAGGGAGCATTCTGTTTTTTTTAATGTAAAATATTTATGAAGTTTTTACTCCCCAGAAGGTTATATGGTTTATTCTTCTCTAAATAATAAGAGAAGCAGATTGTTGTGAATCTGAACGTGCTTTTTAGCAGTAGTTGTGAGGGATTTTATCTTTCCTAAGGTCTAGGTCAAGCTGTGTAAAAGTCACATATGTTATTTAAACGATGTACTGTACTGCTGTTTACATGGACCTTTTGTGCGGGTGCTTTGAAGTGCCTTGCATCAGGGAATAGGAACAATTGAACTATTTTTCCATGGGACTATGTAAAGCATGTAACTAGGTATTGCTTTGGTGCATAACCATTGTAGGTTTCCATGGATTTTTTTATTTGAGTGGGGAAAGTAAGTAGTCTTTAAATTATGGCAGACACTAGAGAATGGGCTTGAGGATTTTCCAAGCCACAATAATGGTGTTTTTCATTAAACATAACAGATGAGTAGTAAATGTTGCTATATCCTGTACATGACAGTATGAAACTTTTTCATTAAATAATATTGAAAGATTTTAAAATTCATTTGCAAGTCTCCTGGTTTTTATAGTAAAAAATAATAAGAATGGTTATCCTGAAGTTACAAGTTTTTTCTATAGCAAGACTTCCCCCTTTATACCTGAAAAGAGTTAACCTTCTGTTATATTAAACAGGTAAAATAATACACATGAAAATTTTTAAAAATCTGAGTTTTTATTTTACAGACGTCCATATTTTAAATGTAACAGTTCTACCAAAGACAGTCTTGGCAACCTGTTTTAAAAAACTGCTTATGAACAATACGTTTAGAAAGTTTTAAAATTTATATATAAACTGTCATTTTAGTATTAAGCAGATTGCTGACAAGATAGGTTTAATTCTTTCCAACAGTGTCTTTCTGTCACCTAACCTTGATTTCCATAACTAGGGTACCACTTGTACTCAAAGATAAATGCCTACATGGTCCAAGGGACAGTTTGCACACAGTAGGTTTTTTTTTGTTTTGTAAATTGTAGCTCAAAGGTATTATTGTTCATAAAGAACAATGTTGGCTACAGAGGAATAATTCCACGTTTTTAAACAGGGAATGTTTTAAGTGTTGAGTTCTATCAGCTGTTGTGATTGAGTTTAAATATCCCTGCAGGGTCAGGAACAAACCAGCTTTCCCATAAGTCGTTGTGAACACTAGGGAAGTCCCAAGGTTTATGTCTTCCATTCCAGTGGAGTAGTTTAGCTTCCTGCAGAAAATGCTCCGAATATCTGGCATCAGGATTCCAGCCTTCGTTGTTTTTAAGGGAAAATAATAAACTTGTTAGAGAATACATTTTTTTTTAAGATTTTTATTTATTTTTTTGAGACAGAACCTCAAACTATCCCCCTGGGTAGAGTGCTGTGGCATCACAGCTCACAACAACCTCTTTAACTCCTGGGCTCAAGCAAGTCTCCTGCCTCCGCCTCCCAAGTAGCTGGGACCACAGGCACCCGCCACAACACAGGCTATATTTTGGTTGTAGCCGTCGTCGTTTTAGCGGGCCTGGGCTGGATTCGAACCTGCCACCTTAGGTGTATGTGGCTGGCACCTTAGCCACTTGAGCCACAGGCACAGAGCTGAGAATAAAATTTTTATATTAAAAATTGAATACAAGTTCATTCATGGTAAAAAAAAAAAAAAAAAAAAAAGGTTATACAGTGAATTTTCTACTCACTCCAGATCTCCAAAGCAACCATTGTTAAAGAGTCTCTGATGGATCCCTCCAGTAGTGCTCTACCTGTATACCCACATGGGTATACAAGGTTGGACAATTACATTCACAAACTCATCCTAGAAAAAGTGTTACGTACTTCATTGCTGAGTGTCACAGCAGCCACCTTTGAAGCACTCCCCTTGGGAAGCTGTGCACCTATGCCAGCGCCTACCCCACCCTTCAAAGCAATTTTGGAACTCTTCTAGAATAGCCATCAGAGCTGTCATCGTATAAAGCTGACATTTGAGTTCATGAACCCATCCTAGAAAAAATGCTTCAAAGGGCGGATGGGCTCTGGCATTTGGTGCACAGCTTCCCAAGGGGAGAACTTCAAAGGTGACCTAGTGATAACTCAGCAATGAGGTATATAGCACTTTTTCTAGGATAAGTTTGCAAACTTAATTGCCTTTGTATGTTTTTTTGAAAAATAGAAGACAAAATAGAGCAGCCTGCTACTTTGCCTTTTATTTTTTTATTTCTGTTACTGATTTCTTTGCTTATACTTCACTTTTTAAAGTTACTGTCTTTGGAACTTTCCATGGCAGTACATGGCGATTTACTGAATTACTGTGAATGACTACATGATTATTTATTGACTGAGTTCCTTAGTAAGGACCTTAGATTCTGTCCCAGCACTAGCATAAACAACACAGCAATGAATAGCCCTCTATCCAGTGGATGTGTACAAATATATCCTTAGGATAAACTCCTGTAGGTGGGATTGCCAGACTGAAGGGTGTGTGTGTCTTTTAAATTTTGATAGATTGCTGGATTGTCTGTATCAGTTTCCTTCCCACCCAGAGTCAGTAGGAGTTCAGTTTCTCTACATTACACTTCCTTCATACGGCAACATTTTCTTTTGAACAGTCTTGTTTTTAACCATATGAAATGTGACTGAAAATAAGATCTTTTTTAACGAACAGTAGTCTCCATTTTATTATTCCCCTCTTACGTAGAGACTGTGCTCTCACACTAACATTGCCATAGCTCAGATTATTTTTAAATATCCATTCTAGAAGTACATTAAGATACTATGAAGGTAAGGTTTTGTTTTGTTTTTTTTTAATCCTCTATTGTGTTAAAAGTTTCTTTCCATGAAAGGGAATTTGATATTTTTTTAAAAAACAAGTGAAAATCCATTGAATAAAGAGAGGGTGCTTAACTAGGATTATATGATTTCGGATAAAAGAACCTAGCTTATATTCATAAACATAGCGATGGTGGCAGCTGCAGCAGAAGAGCTGGTTGTTTCAAGCCGCAGTAGCATAATCAGGAATGATCAACTAACACGTCTGTACAGAGGACCTGCTTATTTGGGAAGAGGCACCTTCTCAGGAAAAGTCACTGCTCAGTAGGGCATGCTGAGCTCTCAGCTTCATGACTGAGAGGCTGTGTGTAACCACCTGAGAGGGGCTTGCAATTCTGATGATACTGCTTTGGTTAAATGTTTCATAAATTTCAAAAATCTTAAGCTTATGTATTTAGACCCTAACCTAATACCCATTAGGGTTACACTACTGTCTGCCTCTAGAATATTCTAAAGCCAGATCATTTTTCAAATGATTTCTATGTAGATGTCCTTTGCACACCATCTCTGATCCCAAAACCTTCCGCACAGATGGAGGCTCTGTTCTGTAAGGACAAATGACTTCTTCCCCATAGCAGATCATGTAGCTTCCTGCTTGTCAGCAAGTTAGATATTTCACAAAATGTAATTCTGAGTCTCTCTTCCAAAATCATCAAGTGCTCTAATTTTATCAACCAGAGTTCCTCATAGCTGTTCTACGCATTTTTATAAAGACCTAGTTTCGTGGGATATTGCACACAGCAATGTTGATATTTGACCTAAGAGTAGAGCTAACATTATAAACCAGATAGAACACTAGGGTCCCTGCCTTCCATCTGTTGCTCTTATGTACAATGCAGATGCTCAGGAAAGTCAGGGAGGATTCTTGAAATGCCTTGGAAGCAGTCCACTCAGGATCACTGAACGGAGACAGCAACTCAACTTTCAAAATTATATCCTCTTTTTTTTTTTAAGACAGCATCTCCTATTGTCACCCGTGGTAGAGTGGCATGGCTTCATAGCTCACAGCAACCTCAAACTCTTAGGCTCAAGTGATCCTCTTGCCTCAGCCTCCCAAGTAGCTGGGACTTCAGGCAGCCTCCACAACGCCCAGCTATTTTCTTTCTTTCTTTTTTTTTTCTTGTTGTAGTTGTCATCGTTGTTTGGCAAGCCCAGGCTGGATTCGAACCCACCAGCTCTGGTGTGTGTGGCTGGCGCCTTAGCTGCTGAGCTATAAGTGCCGACCAATGGCTGTGGTTTTGGAAAAGGGGTTGTGGCCATGTGTGAGAATGAATGTGAGTGAGTCTTCTGTGCCAGGCTTTGATCTAAGCAATCTCCATGTATTCAGTAATTTCTTACAAGACTTTGTAAAAGTCTGTTAGCTTCAGTTTACAGTAAGTGTAAAGCTTCAGTTTACAATAAGTAAAGTGAGATGCAGAGAAGTTGAGTAACGTGCCTAGGATCATATAATAGCAGAGTTGGGATTCCCATCCATACCCAGAGCCCACGCTTGTGTAGTGAACAGATTAAGGGATGCACATAGTACACATCCAGTAAGTGACTGCTTTTTGAAACAAAGTTTAATGCCAGCTATTGAAATGTGTCATAGGCCATTATGCTACTTAATTTGGTCTTACCCACTGCAGGCCACTGCAATAAAGGGCAATAAAGGCCTAGGAAAAAGGTTTGGCAGTGAAAGTTCCATCTGAGCCGGGCGTAGTGACTCACGCCTGTTGTCCCAGCGCTGTGGGAGGCCCAGGCGGCTGCTCAGAGGTTCGAGACCAGCTGAAGACCCTCCTAAGGCAGAGTGAGCCAGAGTGAGACCCTGTCTCTACAACAACAACAGCAAGACAGCCAGACCTTGTGATCCCAGCTACATGGGGGGCAAGAGAACACTACAGGAGGAAGAAGTAAAAAAAAAGGAAGTTCCATCTGAACAAGAGCCAAAGTTTATTGAGCACATCACATATGCTCAGCACTAGTCCAGTAGCGGCCATGGATTCTGAGAAACGAGCCCCGGTAGCCGAGAGTATCAGCTGCATCCGCAGACTCTGAATAGAGGGTTAAGTAATTTGTCCGAAGTCATCTGCAAGATCTAATCTGAGGAACCTGGTGTTTTTCTAAAATACCCAGGTCTCAGCACCTGTGGCTCAAGCGACTAAGGCACCAGCCACATACATCTGAGCTAGCAGGTTCAAATCCAGCCTGGGCCTGCCAAACAACAATGACAGCTGCAACCAAAAAATAGCCAGGCGTTGTGGTGGGCGCCTATAGTCCCAGCTACTTGGGAGGCAGAGGCAGGAGAATCACTTGAGCCTAGAAGTTGGAGGTTGCTATGAGCTGTGATGCCATGGCACTCTACCCAGGGTGACAGGTTCAGGCTCTTGTCTGAAAAAAAAAATAAAATAAAATAATAAAATAAAATACTTACCTAGGTGCCTTATGTGCCACAGAGGGTTGATCGTGGAATATTTCCCATGAAACACAATCAGCATTGGGGAGGTGGCCACCCCTCCTCCCAGAGAGCTGCTATAGAGGTTTTCCCTAAGAAATAAAATAGAAAAGGAATATTTGAGTGGAGCTTCCATAAACTTAGATAGTAGAATATTTGTAAAAGATGTAAGACTTCCACTATATAAGCCTTTCGTTTTCCCTCAACTGATTATTTTGAAAATTGTCAAACTAACACAGAATTGTAAAGATACCATGAACTCCCATATACGTTGCCTAGAAGATTCAGAGTGTTAGTATTTTGCCATTTTAACTCAGTCTTTCTTATGGTAAACATAGAAGATCAGGTTCTGATCCTGTATTACTTATAAAGTAACTTTACTCACAAAGTCAAAGTTATGAGGTCCCAAAATATCCAGATAAAAGAGATCGACAGGAAATACAACGGTATGATGACAGTGGTTGCGTTAGAGTTATTTATTTTCTCTATTTTAAAACTTCAATAATGAAAAATTATAAGTTTTTTAAAAACCTTAAAAAGCAGAGTCAACTTTATAAAATAATCGTTATATGAGAAGAAACTCAACTAAAGTAATTGAAGATTTACAGTGAAAAAGGGTCAAGGGAGGCCAGCTGCGGTGGCTCATGCCTGTAATCCTAGCACTCTGGGAGGCCAAGGCAGGAGCATTGGTTGAGGTCAGGAGTTTGAGACTAGCCTGAGCAAAATGGTACCTCCATATCTACTAAAAATAGAAAAATTAGCCCAGCGTGATGGTGGGCACCTGTACTCCCAGCTACTCATGAGGCTGAGGCAGGAGGATTGCATGAGCCCAGGAGATTAGGGTTGCTGTGAGCTAGGCTGAGGCCAAGGCACTCTACACTCTGCAACAGAGCAAGACTCTGTCTCAAAAAAAGAAAAAAAGATTCACGTTACATTATTAAACAGCTTATTAGGAAATTATATAATAAAGGGCTCCTCATGCCACAGGATCTGGATTCCTCTAATTTATATCATTTGGGGAAAGATTTTTTTTTCTTTTTGCAGTTTTTGGCCAGGGCTGGGTTTGAACCCGCCACCTCTGACACATGGGGCTGGCGCCCCCCTCCTTTGAGCCACAGGCGCAGCCCTGGTAAATATTCTTTTTTAACCTACTGCTTCCTTTTCTTTGTCAACGCTGCCTCCAGGGAAATCTGACCTAAGAAGACAAATATTTCTAAGTCGTGAGCGATGCATAGAAAATTAACTGAATATTTTGTTCTGGGAAAAAACGGCAGAGAGGTCCACACGTACTCCACATTTTTCTGCATCCACTTTTCCAATTGTTTGGTGATACGCTGGTGCTTCCACTCCGTCATGTTGGCAACGATCACGCCAGGATTGAAAGAGCAGGTGCTGGGGCTGATGCCAAGGTCTTTTATGGTCTTTTTCCGATAGTCCAGATAGCCCATGTATGTGTTCTATAAGGGAAGAGCATGTGAGTACTGTAGGCCAATGAATTTTTTGTTTCTGAAAATGATCATTTTCCTGAAGCCCTTGTGTAGCTTCTCTGAGTTTCCTCCTGTGTCACCGGCCACTTCCTAGGGTCTCTAGTTGTTTTGTTTTTGGTTTTTGCTGGTTCCCCCTTATTTCTTCACCCTCTGAATGCTCAGTGCCCCAGGTCTAGTCCAGCCCCTGTTTTTTTCTCTGGCAATAGCTCCATAGACAGTCTCATCCAGTCTCATGGCTCTAACTAAATACCAACCATCTGGCTCTGACCTCCACTCTGGCCTTCCGACTCCTGCTACATCTGCCATCTAAATGTCTCCTTTCAGATGCTTAGTAAAGCAGCTGCAGCTTACATTCAAAAACTGACCTCCATCCTGTCAAAACCTGCTTCCCTACAACCTGCTCCTCCTCCGGCAGTGGCATCTCTATCCTAGTGACTTGGGCAGAATACCCGGGCCAGTAGGTCATCCTTGACTCTTGTCTCCTTCATTCCTCATCCAAGTCTGTTAGTAAATCCTATTGGTCCTGTCTTTAAAATCCAGAAGCCAACCACCTCTCTCGCTTCTGTGGCTGCCTTCCTGTTCCAGGCTATGATACCGCTCACTGGATTTCTGCGAGTTCCTCCTAACTAGTGTCCATGATTCCACCCTTCAACCTCCCACTTTGTCTCTAGGCCGTTCATCTTGTGAAAGCCCCTCCCCCCCCCCATGGCTTCCCATCTCATTCTTAGTAAAGACGAGAGTTCCTGAGACCACCTCCCAGGCCCTACACCATCTGGGCCACATTACCTCTCTGACTTCTATTATTGTCCCCTTGATCCCTCTGCCACACCAACCACCTTTCATTCACCAGAAACACCCTACCTCAGGACCTTTGCACTTGCCACTGCCTCTTCCTAGAATGTTATTCCCAAATGTCTGCACAGGTGGTTCCCTCAGTTCTTCCAGGTGTGGGCTCAAGTGTCACCATCTCAGTGGAGCCCTCCCTGATGACCCTACTTGAAGTACACCCTACCTGCACCCCGATCCTCTGCTTAATATTTGTTCACTGTCTGTCTCTTCATACTAGAATGAAGCTACATAAAGGCAGGAATTTGGGGTTTGTTCACCCAAACAGCAAACCTAAAACAGTGTCAGGCACCCAGTAAGCACTCAGTGTAGTTGTTGAATGGAAGTATGAGGCAGGACGTGATCTGTACTCATGTCCTGGAAATACAGGAGCACTTTCTATGTGCCAGGAGCACTGTGCTAAGAACTTTATACACATTACTACCTCATTAATTGTATTAATAACTTTGTGTATATTAACTGATTCAATTCTCACAATAACTCCACAAGGAAAGTACTATTATTACCTCTGTTTGATGAATACAGAGAAAGAAATAGGCTAAGTAACTTGCCCAAAGTAATAAAACTATGATAATACCAAGATTTTGGCAAAGTCAAATCTGGTCTCAGAGTCTACATCTTAAAGTACTTTATTTATTTATTTATTTTGAGATAGAGTCTCACTATGTTGCCCTTGGTAGAGTGCTCTGGCATCACAGCTCACAGCAACCTCCAACTCTTGGGCTTAAGCGATGCTCTTGCCTCAGCCTCCCAAGTAGCTAGGACTACAGGCACCCGTCACAACGCCCAACATTTTTTTTATTGCAGTTGTCACTGCTGATTTTAGCTGGCCCAGGCTTGGCTCAAACCCGCCAGCCTCGGTGTATGTGGCTGACGCCCTGCCCACTGAGCTATGGGCGCCGCCTTAATGTACTTTAAATGTTACACATGGAAACTTATTTGCTGGACATTTTTTGAAGAACAGCATCAACTCTTCATAGCACCTTGCATTTCAAAGCTACTTCTAGGTTTCAGCATTACATACAGGTTCAAATTTCCTCATTTCCACCAGGATAAGGAGATCTTTACCCTTGAACAAAATCAATATTTTTCTCTACTAAAAGGGGCGGGACGCAATGGTTAAAACGCCGAAAATAGAACCAATAGTTCCAGCAGTCTCTTTTGCGGAAAACCCCATCTGACACAGAGTGTGCTGATGAGGAACCCGGGTAGCCACTGCCATTTCTGGGGGATTTACTACACGCTGGATTCTTGGCTGTCGTGTCCTTTCATTATAGCTCACAAAAACACAACAAAACAGACATTATCCTTGCCTGGTTTCTGATAAGGAAAGTATAACTTTGCAGGGTAAAAGTTACTCGCTCCAGAGTTAGTAAGGATCAGCTGGGTATCTAAGGCCACATAGACACCTGTGCCGTTCTGCCTCCCAGCAGACTGGTCGGCAGCATTTTCAAGGTGGAGTTTATACTGACTTGGAATTGCAGGGGAGGAGAAGGGGCCAGAACAGCAGGGCAAGGGTTAGTTTTCCAAAACAGTGTGCCCACCTGCAGCCCCACAAGCCTGTGTATGTCCTGCGTGGAGGGCAAGTCGCAGTCATCCGAAAAAGCAGCCGCGTGGCCTAGGGCCAAGGTGGTGTCATACAGTTCTTGGATATCACCTGCATTTAAAGACGCCAGCAGTTAAAATGTTACAGTGTTTTGTTTCAGGGCTAGATAGAGCCTTGGAGCTAAAACAAGTCCTGAGTTTGCTAAGGAATAAGAATATTGGATCCCTAATTTCAAGGGGCTTAGCAACTCACTTAATAAGAATAGTTCATGCCAATTTAGAAAGCCACTGGGTCAATTTATGTTGCTATGAAAGTACTGCACCAAAGCTTATCTTCCTTGTATGCGGAAGAGATATGTGCGTATTAATAGAACACAAACCAAACCTTAGCTCGTGCCTAAAAACGTCATCAGTGAAACTTAGTTTCCACCCATTTTAGACATACAGAGGAAGGAAAGGCTTCCAAGCTATTTATTCTAGACTTTAATCATGAGAGTCAATGGATCACGCAGGCAAGTATCAACCGCGTGTTTTCAAAATACTTCCAAATTTATAACAATACTGTATTCACAACTTTAATAAGCAGTCAAAATCACCGGGCAACTAGTTATTTGGAAAATAAGGAAAGACGGTCATCCTACTTATCAGCTGATCCTTTTCCAAGAGTTCTTGGCAATCAGTGAGCGTTACCTTGTACAATGACATCATCGTCCAAATAGATGACTTTCTCATGTTGGTGGATAAGCAGAGGGAGATAAAATCGAACAAAGTTCAGCTGTTAAAACACAAAAGAAAAGATGGTGGGGAAGAAGCATATGGTTCAATGTCTTCTGGGGGTACTGGAATGTTGGCTTTGACCATGGCCTCCACTCAGCTCCGGGTATGGAACAGAATAAAACAGGAGCTGCAAAGATGTCTCACCTGAGCTTCCCAGTACCCAGCTCATCTAGGCCCTGGAGGTGAAACCAGTGCTGGTAGGTCAGCAGTTCCCCTAGACCCAAACCCCCGCTGCGGAGGCTGCTGGCACCTTCATCTCTGAGAACTGTGCAGTGGAAGTCACAGAGGATTCCTACTCAATCTCGCAGGGCACAATTGGCCTGCCTGCCTTAACATTCAAAAAGCTAAATTAGCCTAAAGATGCACACAAACACACACACTCACACGCACATACACAGCGCACAACTTTCATTCATAACAGCGCCATTTAATGTGAAGTCCCGACTCGGCTTCCTCTCTGACAATATCTGGAATTGGGGAGAGAACGTATCATAGACAGAGGTCGAAGAGAACTGAGAAACTTTTCAAGGATGGATTTTAGTAACAAATGACATGCAGAAGGTGGCTGCATTTCCTATAAAACTGCCAGCAAAAGCACCACTCTTTATGCGGGAGAGGTTCCCTTTCCTAAGAATTCTAGCAGTAAAACTCTAGCAGGAAAAACGGTGGTGTCTCCTGAAAATACTGCCTTAGTCAAGGCTATGAAGTACATAATCCACAATGCTGCTGGTTTTTCTTAGCTGCTGGGATACTCACAGTACACACCACAGCCTATGGATTCAGGACATTTTCCCCCGGCTTTGCTACCTGACCCCCTCTAGTTCCCACCCCTGCAGACCATGTGCACAAACATAAATGCATTCTACATTTTTCTATGCTTCCTCTTTCTTTAATAGCTTCATCATGTTGATGTGAATGTTCTTTCTGGAGCAGGTGGCTTATAAATTTCAAATAGCTAGAGTTTGATGGAGATCTAGCTCTGGGAGGCTTCAAAAAATATTCCATCTGCGTCTGGATGGCTAGGGCTCCCCATTGAAGAGGGTCTCACCAAGGACTGTCCCCAGCACATGCACGATTCCTACTCACAGGCTGGAGTAATTCAGGCCTCGCAGAGTCTGGTCTGATCTTCCCTTTGAGGACGGTAGGGTTGAATTCCACCACTTTAAAGTTGATTTCTCTCAGTTTAGAATGTTCAATCCATTTTCTAAAGAAATGACCAAAAAAAAAAACATCTGGTACGCACTTCAAACCATTCCTCAAATTGCCTCCTGCCTCAGGCTCAATCTGTTACCTCCTTAAAAAGTTAAAAATAAATTCTATGTAAACTTAGTCTATAAATCTGATTATATTTCCCCTCATCTGGCCTGGCTTTAAATCTTTCCCTTTTTGCCTCCCCCTTAATCACATAACTCTTTCTGCAAAGGAAATGAGACAAAATAATAATAACCAAATATCTCTCCAGATCCAAATAATTTCCCCCAGAAATGGGAAGAACAAAAAGTGCTCCTTCTTTCTTATAAAGCAGCATCTGTGGTTGCCAGTAGTATCTCTGCCATGTAGTTACAGCTCCAAAATGTTGTAAAGTCGGACATTCTGAACCTTCAACACTGACCGACGTCCTTTTACTCTGTTGTTGTGACTACAGAAATGATTTGAATTTCCCTTTGGGTCTCTGGCTGTCTCTTTTTCATTTTTTTTTTTTTGGAGACAGAGTCTCACTATATCACCCTCGGTAGAGCACTGTGGCATCACAGCTCACAGCAACCTCCAACTCTGGGCTTAAGCCATTTTCTTGCCTCAGCCTCCCATGTGGCTGAGACTACAGGCACTGCTGTAACCACTGTACTACAGGTGCTGAGCCCTCTGGCTGCCTCTGAATCTTCCCCATCTCTCTTCAGTCCCCGTTTTCTCCCACTCCTGCTCTCCCCCTTCTTCACCTCCATTTTCTCAATCTTGTTGAGCTTCTAGCTTTTATCCAATTCATACTGGGATTCTTGTTACATAGAATCGCAAAATATAATTGCCAATGCCTAAAGCCACATAAGGCAGCATTTGTTGTTGATTAAAAATCAATAAAAGAATTAAATCTGAACACAATTTATAACATCTGCAAAATCTGAACCATAAAAATTGGTCCTGTGAATAAGGAAAAAATAGACAACCCAACAGAAAAATAGGCAAGAGACTTGAATACGCACTTCCAAACAGCCAAAGCATGCACGGGAAAAGCGCTCGACCATGTTAGTGCATTAGAAATAAGGGAACCATGGCGGCATCCGTAGCGCAGTGTGTAGGGTGCCGGCCACATACACGGAGGCTGGCGGGTTCGAACCCAGCCTGGGCTGGCTAAGCAACACTGATAACTGCAACAACAACAACAAAAAAAGTAGCGTTGTGGCGGGCGCCTGTAGTCCCAGCTACTTGGGAGGTTGAGGCAAGAGGATAGCTTAAGCCCATGAGTTTGAGGTTGCTATGAGCTGTGACATCATGGCATTCTGTCCAGGGTGACAGAGTGAGACTCTGTCTCAAAAAAAAAAAAAAAAAGAAAGAAAGAAAACTACAATGAGATCCCAGTATGGACACCCATTTGAAGAATAATAACATAGTTGAAAACATTGATTTTTATCAAGTGTAGGTGAGGTTGTGGAGATGTCAGGAGTGTGTTTACTTTGGGATGATTCACTGTATGCTGGAGTTATACAATTTTCTGCTTTTGTGTTCTTCAATGAAAAGAGGGTTTATAATATTTAAAAGGAGAATGGAGAGAACTGAGAAACAGCCCCTGTCCAGATGTTGGAAAGTCACGAGACTCGTGCCTTTTGAATAAAAACAGAATGTATACCCACAGCATCCCTTTGGGTTTGGTTACCTGGTTCTCCTACCCAGGGAAACTAAAGGGCTATAATGGCAGGATAAGTGAACAATCAGCAACAATGAAAAATAAGGAAACCGAGAAACCAGACAGATAGTATACACAAGCCAAGTAAACCTCAGGACTTCCCTCATTAATTCTAATGACAATGATCATTCCAAAAAGGAAGGCTAAGGAAGCTCCAAAGTCTGTAGTGCACAGATTACCGTATTCGAGACAGAGTGTTCCGGAGTCCGACTACATAGAACAAAATGTTGGCGTCAGTGTTGCTGTAGATGCTGTTGATGGCAGCCATGGCGGCGCCCATTCTCCCCGCTGCGGCACAAATCACCACAGGAATCTCCTCTTCCAGTTCTTCAGGGGCCTCTGGTTCAACATCTGGAAACATCAAAACCAGTATCTTAGAACATGAAGGAATTTCTCAGGAAAGCCAAATTAACCTGCCTTCCATCCTGGGGAGGGGGGAATCGTGGTGTGGAATCAACTGCTGATTGTTCACCAATATCCAGTCTCTCCTTCTTCTCTTAGAAAAGATCTTTGGAATTTTAGTGGACACATAGCCAACTGCTAAGACTGTTTTGCCCAGGCTCCCTTCCAGTCCTGTGTGATCCAGTGCTGTCCATCAAGTAATGTGTGTGACTCCTGAGCCTGCCCTTCAAAGGAATGCGTACCCTCCTCCCCTGAGCTTTTCCGCCTTCCACTGGCTGAAACACTGATACGATAGCAGGAGTTAGGGCAGCCATCTTAGACCATGAGATGGAAGCTACCTGTTGAGGACGCCAAAGCTAAAAGATAGAAGGTCTCTTGATCTGGATGATTGTGGAACAAATGTTGGACTTACACTTGAGAGAAAAAATAAATTTCTATATTGTTTAAGTTACTATTATTTTAGAGCTCTCTTATAGAAGCCAATTGGATACCTAACATTGGTTGGAAACCATGAAGAACTGCAAAGCCTCTGTTTGTTAACATTCCTCAACTCTCCCCTAAACTGGAATATTTACTTCGCCCACACTGTCCTGAGATATATTGCTTATGATTCTCCTTCCTCCATCCACCCTCTAGTCAAGTGTCTCAAATACTGACAGCAAGAGAAAGGCGGCAATATGAAAGAGCATGAAAGATACATAAGAAGATTAATTGGTTATTCTTCCGAGCATTGGCTATGATAGAAAATCCAATGCCATAACCTCATGCTTTGGTACCAGCATACAACTTTCAGACATGAAGAATAATAATTATCAGCATGTAGGGTATCCACCATCAAATGCCCAGCTGATTTTTACTTAAAGATCTGTCTTACTCTCTCTCTTTACACACAGATGTTTGCAAACCTCTATCACTCAGGCCCAGGGTAGCTCTGGTAGATACTTAATTCAACAAGCATTTATTGAAACGAACTGCCAGCTATTGTGCTTTGTGTAATTTAACAAACACTGGGCTCCCTCCCTCTGCACCTTTTCTACCAGCTTGTAACTGCATCGGAAATTTCCACCCCTAGAACAATTTTGTTTTCACGATACATTCACTGACATGAGAAAATGCTTGTAATACACCATGAAGGAGAAGAAGATTACAAAAGTCTCTCTAGTGTTTGATCTCGATTTGATATATATTTATTTTCAAAGGGACCTAAGCCTATTTGTGAAATTAGAAGTGATTTTGGTTGTATTAGTATCTCTTATATATTTTCTAAATAGTAGAAAATAACCATGCACTATTTTTATAAACCAAGAAAAATGTTTCTTTTCTTTTTCTGGGTAGAGTGCTGTGGCATCACAGCTCACAGCAACCTCAAACTCTTGAGCACAAGCGATCCCCTTGCCTTAGGCTACCGAGTAGCTAGGACTACAGGCATCCATCAGAATACCCAGCTAGTTTTTCCTATTTTTAGTAGAGATGGAGTTTTGTTCTTGCTCAGGCTCATTTCAAACTCTTGAGCTCAAGTAATCCACCTGCTTCAGCCTCCCAGAGTGTTAGGATCACAGGCGTGAGCCACCACTCCCTGCCAAGACAAATGGTTCTTCAAGATTGTTCCTTTTGACCAAAGTTGTCATCTGGGGAAGGTCCCTTAGTCATGTGGTGTTTCCTGCAGGCAGTAAAGTGATCTCCCTGAAATGCAAATTTGACTGTGTTTCTTCATTGCTAAAAATACTTCCAGGGTTCCTGACAGGTGGACCCACATCCCTTCACTGGCACACAGGCTCTCACAGTCCAGCTCCTGCTCACATCCCCAGCCTTCTCTCCTTCAGTTTGAGAACATTTCCATCCCCCTAAAAAGCTCCCTTGAGATGATTTGCAGAGATCCACTTCCACTCCCAGCTCAGGCCACCACAGATCAGTTTTCTGTCTCCATTGATTTGCCTTTTTGAGAAGTTTCTTATAGATGGAATCATATGATATGTAGTCTTGTGTATCCAGCTTTTTTTTCATTTGCCATCGTGTTTTTGAGATTCATCCATACCATACAGCTTGTATCAGTAGCTTGTTCCTCTTCACTGTTGCAGAATACCTCACTATGTGAATATACTATCACACATTCCATTTATCTGTTCACTAACTGGTGTACTGTGGACTGTTTCCAGTTTGGGGCTGCCATGAATAATGCCCTATGAACATTTGTATACATGTCTTCCTGTGAAAATTCTCTTTCCAGATGCTCTCTATATTCGTTAAAACCAGATTATACATGTTTTTAATTCTGTTGTAAATGAATTTTTTTTTTTTTTTTTGGCCGGGACTGGGTTTGAACCCATCGCTTCCTGTATATGGGGCTGGCGCCCTACTCCTTTGAGCCACAGGAGCTGCCCATGAATTTTTTTAAATTAAAAAAAAAAAAACAGTTTCACGGTAGCCAGGACATTGATTTGTTCACTCTGTGTTTCCGGGCCTTAAGTGTATCATGGCTTAAAAAAAATTACGGAAGAAATGTATGTAACACATCTAAATACTCAGCTGTATTTATCTGTGGCTGATACAGCTACAGGTGACATTTTTTTCTTTCTTTTCCATAAATGAATATATTTGCTTGACCAATATAAAAAGTGAATTAATTAAAAATATAATAAACACACAATGCTGCTTAATTTTGATAGAGGTCACTTGGTGTGTGTTTTGGTGCCATGTCATGCAATTCACCCCTCCTCCCCCCAAAGGGAAACACAGTTCTCAGCGCAGCTAGACAAGGAGATGGGGTCAATGAAGGGTCATTTTCAAGTTGAGAATTCTTAGGCTGTTTGTGTACTGATGGAGTGAACCACCAAGGAGAAGAGAGGGTGAGTTTCATAAGCCAAATTATTGAGAGACTCCCAAAGGGATGGGCGGTAGAATGGGACAGTCCACCCAGAATGTGGTTGAAGAAACCACCGTATCAGCCTCAACCCGGAGCTCATCAGAAAGGCAGAACCTCCAGTGTCACCCCTACCTGCTGATTCTAAACCTCTCAGGAAGGGCCAGTATTATGTGTGTGTGTGTGGGGGGTTAGTTGTTTTGTTTTTTTTTTTCAGACAGAGTCAGAGTGCCTTGGTGTCATACTCACAGCAACCTCAAACTCTTGGGTTCAAGCAATCCTCTTGCCTCAGTCTCCCAAGTAGCTGGGACTACAGGCACCTGCCACAATGCCCCGCTACTTTTTGTTGCAGTTGTCACTGTTGTTTTAGCTGGCCTGGGCTGGGCTTGAACCCACCAACCTCAGTGTATATGGCTGGCACTGTAACCACTGTGCTACGGGTGCCGAGCCAGTTTTTCTCTTTTTAGTAGAGAGGGGGTCTCATTCTTGCTCAGGCTGGTCTTGAACTCCTAAGCGTAAGTAATCCACTTGCCTTGGCCTTCCAGAGGGCTGGGATTACAGTTATGAGCCACTGTACCAAGCCCCACACTGTGTTTTAACAAGCCCTCCATGTGAATCAGAAAGTTTCTTTCTTACACATCAGAAAGTTTAAAAAACACCGATCATTCTAGAATAGCACCTGGCACCCTAAAGCACAATTGAGAAGTTGGCCTCGGGTGCATATTCCACCAGTAGGTCCTTGCAGCTGCCCAAATGCTCTCTTGTCCCTGAACCCAGCTATTTAAAGGACCCAAAGGAAGACATTCAGACCTTCCTGGGTATCCAATCTCAATGGATTCCAGACCTGCTTACCTGTCTCATTCTTGATCACAGTCCTCTTATGAACTTTCTTATACAGGATCCCACAGAGGGTCACAATCAGAAGGAAAAGCAACACCTGATTTACTGAAATAAAAACAGAAACATGTTGGCATTTAACCTAACAACCTGAAATCATGGGGAAAGGTTTAGGACGGTGGTCTGAGTAGTTGCCTTCCGTGACTGCACACAGAGGGTGGCAGCCTTGGACCTTTTTTCTTAACAGAAAAAAGGCATATGGCGTGAAGAATTAACCAGGGGCAGCACTGCTGTCCACAGACAAGCAGAAGTAGTGTAAGGAAGGACCAGGGCCAAACCCAGGCAGTCTAAGGCTGCAACCTTAATAATTACAAGATACTGCCCTGGGAGCCATTTTCTGTACATGAACATTTAGTTTCAAATAATCACTGACACTTACATAATGCTTATTATGAGCCAACAGTAATTATGAGCACATGTTCTTAGCTGTTGTAACATAGTTGTTTCTCAATTAATTCAACTACTAGACAAGGATGACCTGCAGAAAATTCTTGCCCGGGGTAAAAGGTTAGAAGCCTCCAATACTGCTTCTAGTTCTAAGTCTGCAGAACCATCTGATCTAGAGCAGTGATGCTTGCTCCTGGGACCTCCTGAGAAGGAGAGTGGTATATTTTGTTGAGTGGAAGGCACATATCACTGGATGTGCAGGAGATGACAGAGGAGGTTCAGATTTGTAACATCCAGTAGTATTGAATAACAGCGTGAGAAAACCCATCTTCTGACTTCACATGCAGGTATTTTTACATCCGCCTTCTTCTTACGATAATTCTTTTCTCATTTACAGTAAGAATAAAAACTTCACATTATAAAGTACATACTAAATTTTTACATGAGTCAATTTAAGGAAAATATTAAGTGACATATGGGACAAAAGGAGCAAAAATGATGAAAAATTGAGAAGATGGAACATTGCCATATGTGGGGATTCAAACCTGAAGTTTGAATAATATTAGAAGAGGAAAGGGTGGGGATTTGATGTTTCTACCGCCTCCTAGATTCGTGGCCTCAGATGGGTTTCTTAACCTTTCTGAGCCTCTGGTGCACTTGTTTACTAAATGGAAATTATAAGTATTACTTCACACTGTTGCTTTGAGAGTTCGGAGGCAATAAAAATCCAAAGAAGACTTTATCATTGTTATGGGCATTTCTTTTCTTTCTTTCTTTTTTTTTTTTTTTAGCAAGAGTCTTACTCTGTCACCCAGGCTAAAGTGCCATGGCCTCATGGCTCAGCCTAGCTCACATCAACCTCAAACTCCTGAGCTCAAGCAATCCTCCTGCCTCAGCCTCCTGAGTAGCTGGAACTGCAGGCACCCAGCTAATTTTTCTATTTTTAGTAGAGATGGAGTCTCACTTTGCTTAAGCTGATCTCCTCATCCTGTTGACCTCAAGAGATCCTCCCACCTCGGCCTTGCAGAGTGCTAGGATTATAGGAATGAGCCACTGCCCCCGGCCCAATTTTTTATTATTTTTATGCATCAAGATGCTTCATTGATTATCCTTGTACTATCCCCTAAGCCTTTGTCTTTTTGTCTCCAGGGATGCCTTCCAAAGCTACTTTTTGAGACTTAGTGGTTCTACCTTACAAACACCCAGCTCCTTCCTTTCTAGGTTATCAGATTCATTCATCCGTTAGATTCAGTTTAAAATAAAACCATAGGTGGCGCCTGTAGCTCTGTTGGGCAGGGCACCGGCCACACATACCAAGGCTGGTGGGTTTGAACCTGGCTGGCCAGCTAAAAAATCAACAATGACAACTGCAAGGAAGAAATAGCCGGGCACTGTGGCCGGCGCCTGTCGTCCCAGCTACTTGGGAGACTGAGGCAAGAGAATCTCCTGGGCCCAGTGTTTGAGGTTGCTGTGAGCTGCGACATCACGGCCACGGTATGGTTAATATTCACCTGCCAGTCAATCTGGGGAGCACTTTCCACTGTAGCTGTTACCTTGACATAGGTCTCCATGCAATATTTGGGACATACTATACTAAAAATTTATTTATCTGAAGATTAAATGTAACTGGCTGTCCTATGTTTTTATTTGCTAAATCAGGCAACTCTACCCTGCGGGTAACCTATCAGACAATTAGATTACTGCTTCCCCCCAAATTGACAAACTACTGGATCTAAAATCAGGAGGAAATCTAAGTTTGGGTGGGTCTGAATATTTGAAATGACTTTTTTTTTTTTTAAATTTTGAGATGGAGTCTACGTCACCCTTTGGTAGAGTGCTATGGAGTCACAGCTCACAGCAACCTCAAACTTTGGGGCCCGAGCGATTCTTTTGCCTTAGCCTCCCAAATAGCTGGGAATACGGGCGCTGGCCACAACACCTGGCTATTTTTTTGTTGCAATTGTCATTTGTTCTTTAGCTGGTGCAGGCTGGGTTTGAACCCACCACCCTTGGTGCATGTGGCTGGCCAGTGCCATAACCACTGTGCTACAGGTGCCGAGCCTGAATGATTTTCTAAAAATAAGAATACAAAATTATAAGTGCTAAATTAGACATGAGCATGAATATTTATTCAGAATGAGAAAATAAATTATATTTGTAGGTTTTATAGAAATATATCATCAGCCTTCTCATGATAAGGCCAATTTTTTTTGAGTTTTTAAATTTTTTTTATTATATCATAACTGTGTACACTGATGCATTTATGGGGTTCAGTGTACTGATTGAACAATGTGAAATGCTTACATTGAACTAAGTAACACATCCATCATAATTATACTCTTTTCTGAATAGTTTTGAAATGCACCATTGCATAATGCACATTAGGGGAAGTCCCCCCAAATACCCTCCCTTCTCCTACCTCCCCAATCCCATCCCCTTTCTCTCCTCTTCCCTTCTGCTTTCTGGACTATAGTTAGTTATGTTTTGTCATTCATATGAATGTGTAGGTGATGATATATTGATTTCATAGTAGTATTGAGTACATTGGATACTTTTTTTCCATTCTTGAAATACTTTACTAAGAAGAACATGTTTCAGCTGCATCCAGGTAAACATCAAAGATGTGAAGTCTCTGTCTTTTTTACAGCTGCATAGTATTCCATGGTGTACATATACCACAATTTGTTAATCCATTCATGGGTGATAAGGCCACTTCTGACCAAAATACTTAACAACCTTCCATGGGAATTACCCTGAAATGATGATGCTCAAAATTACCCACAAGAAAACTATCCAGAAAAATCAAAGAAGGTTAAAAAAAAAAAAAGAAGCAGCCAAGCTTTGGCATCAAACAGTCCTCCCAAATATCTGTTTTTATTATTGTCAAAAGTTGTCATCTTACTTTTTCGTAACAGAGCCATGTGTGTTCACGTGGATAAAAACCGTGACCTGTGGATTAAAGAATAAAATTTTGTTGAAAAGAGAATCCACTCAAAAGTCATCAACAAATGTTAAGGGCTATCTATGCCCTCTTTCAAAGTCTAAGATATCTGTGAAGGGTGAGATCATTCTTCACTGCTCCACATCTCAACTTTTGGAAACAAAACAAATATAGCCCACCTCCTCAAAGGTGATTCCTCTGGCTGAAAAAAACTTTCCTAAGTGTCTCTAAGAGCTAATTTTTTGTTTTCAAGGTTTTAAAAATCTCCGAAAAGAGCCCTGCCAGTCTTCTGGGTGAGCAGAGCAGATGGTACCAGCTGGAGGGAGTGTCCAAGAAGGTCTCCTTGATCCAAAATATCAACCCCATGCTAGCTGGCTTTTATGTTTTTGGGAAACCCCCAGAAGAGCACACTTTACATCCATCCATTCATTCAGATTGTATTTACATATTGAGATTCTACTCAAAGTCCCACAGTGCGCTACATCTTTGAAATGCCCCAAATTCAATCTGGTTCTGATCCTCCTGGAGCTTTTGAACCACTGAGGGAAACATACTAAAACATAGCAAATAAAATTATTAGATTGAATTATAATTAGAATTATTTAAATCTTTTTAAAGATTATAATACTGTGATTTTTTTATTCTGGTTTTTTTGTGGGGGGTGGGTGGGTGGGTATTGAGACAAAGTTGCTCTGTCCACCAGGCTACAGTGCTGTGGCCTCAGCCTAGCTCACAGCAACCTCAAATTCCTGGGCTCAGGCAGTCATCCCTGCCTCAGCTTCCTGAGTAGCTGGGACCACAGGCGTGCACCACCACACCCTGTTAATGTTTTCTATTTTTGGTAGAGAAAGAGCTTCTCTTTCCTCAGGCTGGTCTCGAACACCTGACTTCAAGCTATCCCTCTACCTCGGCCTCCTGAGTAGCTGGAACTACAGGTGCCTGCCTCCGCTCTCAGCTAATTTTTCTATTTTTAGTAGAGAGGGGGTCTCACTCTTGCTTAGGCAGATCTCAAACTTCTGAGCTCAAGCGATCCTCCCGCCTTTGCCTCCCACAGTGCTAGCAGATGAATTGGGCTCCAGGTAACAGATCTCACTGTGTATTGATGGCTTTCCCAGCTCACAGGACAGGCTGGTCTTCTCTCCCCTGGGTGCTCAGTTACCACACCTATGAGAGCATGCCAGAGGCAGAGAAATAGTGTTGACTCATCTGAGAGGGAGCTCTTCTTCCCCTGTCCCACATGTTGCCAACTCCAAAATTTCTTTAAGGAGAAATAAGAGACTTCAGAAAATTGATCAAAGCTCGTCTAATTGGCAAGGCACCCAGGCAAGCCAAAGAGGGAAGTTTCTGAAGCAGACTGTTGTAGGAAATCCTAAACCACACGACAAGACTGGAGTCCTTTCAAAGCATGCAGTTCCAAAAGAAATCCTGCTTAAAATACATAAATAAATGAAAGAATAAACAAATGATATCACGTGTGTGTGTGTGTGTGTGTGTGTGTGTGTGTGTGTGTGTGTGAGGGTTCATGAACATCCTAGAAAGAGTGCTACCTACCTCATTGCTGAATGCCGCTATGGTCACCTTCAAAGCACTCCCCTGGGCCATCTGGTGACAAGAGTGATATTCAGTAATGAGGTAGGTAGCACTTTTTCTAGGATAAGTTCACAAACTTAATTGTCAGACCTTGTATAGCAATAGCTCTGATGACTCTTCCAGAAAAGAGTTCCCAAATCGCTTTGAAGGGTGGAGTAGGTACTGGTGTCATGCACAGCTTCCCAAGAGGAGTCACTTAACTTACTTCAAAGATGACTGTAGTGGTCTTCAGCAATGAGGTCTGTAGAATGTTTCCTAGGATGAGTTTGTGAACTTAATTGTGCAACCATATATATTTGTATACACACACACACATATATAAACCTCACATATATACGTATAAAGATCTGGCATACCTGAATCACATCCTCCTCTCCCTTTTTATAATTTTATCTCATCTCTAATGGTGGCACTTTCTGGGTTTCAGAAGAAACCCCAAATGGGGAAAACACAGATACTTATGGCTCTAGAATCAAGTGGAAATCTTTTTCCTTTTTTTTTTGAGACAGAGCCTTGCTCTGTTGCCCAGGCTAGAGAGCCATAGCCTTAGCCTAGCTCACAGAAACCTTAACTCCTGGTCTCAAACAATCCTCCTCCCGCAGCCTCCCAAGTAGCTGGGAC